ATTACCCATCCGTCATATTGACTTTTATGGTTATGTCCTTTGGATGGAAAAACGGTACATTATATGTTTTTTTTGCGATAGTCCCACCACTTTTATGCCCGCAATCACTCAGGCGTTCAATAATTGACTGCATCTGCGGTCGAATACAGATCAAATCGAGGATGGGTTATAAAATAGATTGGGGGAAAAAAATCAAGCAAACAGCAAATAAAATTTATAACAAATCTAACACACATACATCATTTTGATATGGTCACGGACACGTTCCGTCCGTCTATTTGCTTAAGGAAGGATGCCTCATCGGGTGGCAGCCACATGGATGTAGAGGACAAGGTCCGTACTCCGGAGGATCTGAAGCTGGAGGAAACTTTAGCCAGGACAGACACATTAATTTTGCTGCTCGCTTCTCTAACCGCATGCAATTTTTCTTGGCTCGCTCTCCCTCGGCTATCGCCTTTCAATGGCAGGAAGCGAACCCTGGGAGAAAAGTGGAGTGCGGGAAGGGAGGGGAGAGTGTTCGAGGATCCGGGATGGGAAGAGCCCACATCCTTCAGCCAGTCAGTTAGTCAGTCAGCCAGATAAGTGCGGTTTATGTGCAGCACGTAGACCAACTCAATACACTCGATAAATTGCGGCGGCGTTTGGCTGCTTAGAAACGGGCAACTTGACCGCATCCAAAAAGGGGAAAAGGGAATTTTACATATGCAGTGGGATTATTAGCTCTTGGGTCATTTAATTAATGTAGGAATTTAATAGAAAATTTTAGGAAAATCTTAGAAGTTAAACTTTGATTTTTATAAAAAAAAAGTTATTAAAAAAATTAGAAAAAATATATTTCCTACCTTTATATATAGGCAGAAATTAAATGAAAAGAATTTTATAAATAAAATATTTATTTAATTATTTTTTTTAAGAAATACAGTTTCTATTATTTTACCCTCAATTTTTTTGTAAAAGCAATGAGGTTTCCGAGTACCGAATTGATGTTGTGCAGTTTTTCTCTGAACAAAAACTGCAAGTGCACTTTAACCCTCGGTGCGCTAACCTGACTTTAACCCCTACTCCCCCCAACGCTAACTCAATTTCCGTGCCATGGGCAGCACTTGATTAAATAATGTCCAAAGGCATTTGAAAGCCGAATTCCGATTGGAAATGCCAGCGAACCTCTTCACAAGCAAACAAAATTCCATTGCAAATTTACTCATATTAAAAGCTCATTAAAGATCAAATGCCCAAAGTCAAAAACCCTTGGTTTGCCTGTTGTAGACCCGGGAAAAACTCATCATGGCAACAACATTCCATGGCGGGGGGGAAAAAGGAAGAGAAAGCCCAGAACGGAGCGGAAAATATGTTATTAATTCAAATTAATATAATCCAATTTTTTTCGCTTTTCCTCCCATTGCCCCGGAGTTTTGCGCCGGGAAATGGAAACTACTTTCTCAGCGTCGCGCATTACGGAAATATGTTTTCCCTTTCCGCTTTCGCTAAGGGGAACTTCGCATTTTCACCGAGTGGGGTTGTTCTATGATGTATAGACAGTATCGTATCTGGGTTGGCATGAGAAATGGCCTGGTTCGAGGATTGGCGGGTGTGGTTTTTGCATTTGCTCCCGGTGCTCCCCGTGTATGCAGGAATGTGGGTTAATAATGAGCCCATAGACAGCAGCAGACGGGCTTAAATTTGAAAGACATTTGTCTTGGCTATGCCATTACGTTTTAGCATATGATTATTTTCAGGTTTTCCTTTCCTAGTCGACTTTGCGAGGCAATCGAAGTAGCACCGCATCCCAATGACTGTATCCTCCACGAAAATTGTTAGTAATGCAAATGTAATAAACTCGACTTTTCCAGCACACCTTTCTTATATTTAATTCGATTACAAAAGACCCTATACTATATAAAAGACCCTTAAAAGATTTACTGCTTGTTATACATATACTATGTTTATGCTATGAGATTCATGATTTCTTGAAAGCGTGAAATAAAAAAAAACAAGAGAGAACGCTATAGTCGGCTATAGTAGATAAGGAAAGTGCTAAGCTTCTTGGATATTTTTAAAAATGTTTTATTTAATAAAAATATTAAACTAAACTCTTTTTTTTCCAGTATTTATCGGATAACTCCGACTCTCTTGTGAAACATTCGAAATGAAGTTGTCTGGCTTTGATTTGCCATCGAGTGAGCTTTGAATGTGGGTTAAATAAGAGAATAGATTGCAAGCCAATTGCAATCGATGAGTTTGCTTCTACTTTCCAGCTTCATAGCGAAAGTGCAAACTGTGCATTTAGTTGATTAAATGGGATCCTGCTGATTCTGACGCCAATTCTCTGGCTCTGCCGGCGGCTTCACCGACGATCCGCTGGAACGCTCCCGCTGGTTGGTAATCTTCTGTTCCGGCTTTGGCTGCGACTGCGACTGTCCCGGCTTGGACCACTCCGACTTGGGCTCGGAGTGGCCGGCACTCGGCTTGACGAACTCTTTAGAAATCTTGGTCTTCATGGTGATCGGGTTGCGAACTGAGCCAGCCGCAGTAATGTAGCGGCCGTTGCCAATGCTGTTGCCTTTGGGCGTATTTTCTTGGTCTTAAAAGTGGAAAAAAAGAAAATGTATAAAAAAAATTGTAGCAAAGAAAATTCCGTACCTGTCATCTTCCTTTTGACGCTGAAAATATTGAATAGAGCAGTCAGTGTATGCCAATAGAAGGGATACTAATGAAAGTAGGGCCAAAAGCAGGTGCGATTACCAACATTGATATCATCGAATCGTCACTCTGTCACATAAAATATCGCACACTTTTCATCACGAGCAAGTAATGAAATCTTTGCAATACTTTTAAGGGCTCCACTTATTCCTAATTTAACTCTGTATTTGTGGGGTGACTACTCTGCTCTATCATACTTCAACAGAGCCGTATACAAATGTCAAGTAATATCTGGGAGACACCCCTGCTCATATCATTTCATGATTTCGTTTGTATCGTATAAGTAGTAGTTATACCCGTTACTCGTAGAGTAAAAGGGTATATTGTCAGTGCTGTCATCACTCAGCTTGAAAAACAGGACAGATAAGCCGAATAAAAGGGGAAAAAAGGACAAAAAAATTTAAAAAATGACAAAAAAGGGACAAAGGTAAATGCGTCTCGATTTTTCTTTTTTTACCAATGGGTTATATATTTACTTCATTTAAATTGAATTTATATTAAATTCAGTTAAGTAAAGATCTACTGCGCCCAACTCACAACATTCTTCGTTTGATCATTTTGCCATAGTCAATTTTTGTGCGTGTACGTTATAATCCAAAAATTTTTAAATAATAAAAGCATTTCAAGTAACTATATTAGTAATACAAAAAAAATTCAATAACTGCGTCAAACCCGAATAAGAGTTGTTCAAATCTACAATTTTTTTCTGACAAAAAAGCAGAGAGTAAAATTTGAGAAATTTTTATAAATTGTTTGTCACAGAAAACATTGTACTATAAAGAAAATCAGCTCAAAGAAGCTGGGTTGACAAAAATTAAATTTTTGAAATTATAAAAGCGGAATCGTTTGCCCATCTTTTGCCCATGTCACCCCAGATATTACTTGTCATTTATTTACTTGACATTTAGATAGAGCAGAGTAGAGTTCAGGCTGAATTCATAGCCAACTTTTGTGTGTTGTCAAATTCACGAAATGCATAAACGACACACGAATCGGTTGAAATCGTGAATTCGTTATCGCTAAACACAGTAATAGTATATGTGTCGTGTACATGAATTATATAGAGGAACTTTGGGCTCTGTAAAAGATGTTGGATCGAAATAAAATTGGACACAGTAAAAATGAATGCAATTTTTCTATTTTAGATTGGGACTAGTCTACATAACTATTTCATGTGAAATTAGGAATAAGCGGTTAAAGGAGCCCTTAAAAGTATTGCAAAGATTTCATTACTTGCTCGTGATGAAAAGTGTGCGATATTTTATGTGACAGAGTGACGATTCGATGATATCAATGTTGGTAATCGCACCTGCTTTTGGCCCTACTTTCATTCGTATCCCTTCTATTGGCATACACTGACTGCTCTATTCAATCTTTTCAACGTCAAAAGGAAGATGACAGGTAAGGAATTTTCTTTGCTACAATTTTTTTTTATCATTTTATTTTTTTCCCCTCTTAAGACCAAGGAAATAAGCCCAAAGGCAACGGCATTGGCAACGGCCGCTACATTACTGCGGCTGGCTCAGTTCGCAACCCGATCACCATGAAGACCAAGATTTCTAAAGAGTTCGTCAAGCCGAGTGCCGGCCACTCCGAGCCCAAGTCGGAGTGGTCCAAGCCGGGCCAGTAGCAGTCGCAGCCAAAGCCGGAGCAGAAGATTACCAACTGCCGGGAGCGTTCCAGCGGATCGTCGGAGAAGCCGCCGGCAGAGAAAGAGAATTGGCGTCAGAATCAGCAGGATCCCATTTAATCAACTAAATGCACAGTTTGCACTTTCGCAATGAAGCTGGAAAGTAGAAGCAAACTCATCGATTGCAATTGCCTTGCAATCTATTCTCTTATTTAACCCACATTCAAAGCTCACTCGATGGCAAATCAAAGCCAGACAACTTCATTTCGAATGTTTCACAAGAGAGTTGGAGTTATCCGATAAATACTGGAAAAAAAAAGAGTTTAGTTTAATATTTTTATTAAATAAAAAATGTTATAATAATATCCAAAAAGTTCAACACTTTCCTTAGCTTCGAATAGGAGTTTTTTTTTATATTATTAAAAACAAAGTTTTAACAAAACAGTAATTTCATTTCCCTCTGTGCAGTGAAAACTTTTCCCATATGCAACAGTTGCCCATGTTTGTGTGCCACCCACTTTTGCCATCTCGCAACCAATCCCTCAAGCCATTGTTGGCTTGTTGGTTCGATAAACTCCCTGCCAACAGCCAAACAAATCCCAATCCCAATCCCAGCTGCACCTAGTACCCGGTTTTTCCTCCCTTCAATCGGTTTCAGTTCCATGGCAAATGCCCGGCGGTGAGCAAGTAGGGAAATCTGGTATCTGGCTGAGTGCTCGGCATAAAACGGAAAACTTGTTAGGATGGATAAACTGCGGGGCAACAATGCGGCTGGCGAGAATCCCTTCAAGCGGCCAATGAATGCCCTCCAGAAGCAGTGGTATCGCGTTCTACTGGCCCGACGAGTGGGATTCGGGCAGCGTCCTCCGCCCGATGAAAAGGAGCTAACGTAGTAAGTCAGTTGAAGGAGCAGACGCAGCTACGCAGCCCTCTGTTCAAATCAAATTGTGTGAAAATTGCAATTTCCTGTTGATTTAATACATTTCACAATTTCCCCATGCCTCGGGTAAAAGCGCCGACATTTGTCGTAAGCGCTATACAGCCTCGTTCCGGCGATACAACGAACGTTTCCGCCGGGAAATGGCCAAACACGAGGAGATGCAGCGATGCGCCATCGATGCCATGAGGGTTCACAGGTGAGAGAAGTGAAATCTAAATATATCTTTAATTTTAAATTTAAATCGGAAAATATTTGCAAAAAAATCAAGTTTTTAAATAATTTTTATATTTTTTACAATTTTTATACTGTTGAAAAATCATATTAAAATCAATTAATAAATGGATTATAATATTGTTATGACTGAAAGGGAGTTATAATAATGCATACCTTATTATTACTAAAATTCATAAATACTGAGGGGCATCAAATGCTCTTTACGCAAACATAACTTAAAAATTCGTAATTTCTGCTGGGTTTTAGTGACCATTATTCAAGGAACTACAAATGCTACAAAACAACGAATATTTTGAATTAATACATACAGAATATTCTCTTCCTATTTAATTTAGAACCTTTGCCATAACCACACTTTGGCTGCCATTGCATTCGAAACGGGAGATAAACTCCACGTTGGAGACCCTCGAACAGGTAAGAAACATTTTGGATAAATCTCGGATTTAACATGGCTTAAATATAATTTTACCCAGGTTCTCACCGCCAAGGAAAGACGACGCCTGCAGGAGATACTCAAACAAGGAGAGTCCTGGCACTCGCATCGCTGAAGCAACATCCACTGCTCTCAAGGCCACTACTCGGGTTCAGATTCAGATTCTGATTCAGATCCTCCTCCAGATTCCGAACCCGACTCATCCCCATGCCCATCATCATCATCTGCCACGGCTAAGTGAATTCCATTTAGCTTGGATTTCACTCTTCCTGGGAGCCTGATTTTTCTTCACTCACTTCATTTTTTACTTTTCCTTCGTTTTGTTCTTGAATTTTTGCTGTCAGTGGCCCAAGCATTGTCGTAAATATTTAATACCAGTAAAAGTGCAAAGTTCACTTTGGCTAAAACCAAAACGGTGTTGGGACGAGATCAATTTACTGGTATGGGGATACAAGGGCACTATCAAAAGGTTATAGAAATTGCTGTCTCAAAGGGATTACTGCACTTTAGTTTTAATAATTTTCTTAGGGGAGCGGAACTGTATTGCAGTTTAATTTTCTTAAAGGTAAATTGATTTAATCTATTATTTTATTTATTTTTTATTATATTAAAAATACACAAGAAAGAATTTGTTATTCCTATCTTTCTGTTTTATTTGTTTTGAATTATTCCTCATATTTAAATATGTAGCTATTTTATTATTCTTTTTCTAATATTGTTAACCCAGTTGGAACATATTTTCCTTGCCCCAAAGTGTTCCATATTTCAAAGACTATTCAGATTTATTATGTTTTCTTTGGCAATCGATTTAGCCTATTAAAAACTGCTGCCTAGGGCAAAGTTTTTCAATGTAAATATGTCATATGCCAAAAAAGGCTGCCCCCATAAAACACACTTGTTGGGGGAGGAAAATGGACACAATGGAAAAGGGGTGACATTTTCGTAAATCCCTGAAAAACTGAAGAGACAAAAGCCCAAGTCGGCTTCAAGCTTAACCCACTCGCATATATCCCAGTGACATTTGCTGCCAGGACTGAGGCCCGATAGTAGGCCAAAGAGCAAAAAGGGCTCAACCCAATATCCTTGCCAACAGCAAACAGCAAACAACAAACAACGGAAACAGAAGCTTGGCCAGCAGAAAAACCGAAAGAAAACTCAACTCGTAGGCTCGAAATGCCGCAGCTGTTTCGGTTTGACATATTGCCGACTTGACAGCAAAAACAGCAAGAAAAAATCGAGAACAAAACTATTGAACAAAGTGGCGCCTGTCGCACTTTATGACGAGCCTGCAGTGCCCTTTTCCCTCTTTTCCCGGAGCCCCTCCACCATAATAGCAATCACAGAAATGTGTTCTAATTTAAAGCCATATATAGGAAAGAAAACAGTGGAGAAAAAACAACAGACGGAAGAGACAAAAGGAACAGCTGCCAAGAAAAAGAAGGAAATCAGCCAGGAGAAAAAGGAATTTGGGAGAAATTTACATCGAAAAAAATATAGAAGTAATTTAAAAAATTATAAATTTAAAAAACAAAATAAGCTTATGAGTCCTGTAAAAATGTTTTTTTTTTATTTATTTTTTTTTTCCAAATGTATTTTATCCCGAAATTTATAATTAATATTAAAATAAGTATTTTATTTAAATTATCCAAGTTCTTAACTCATTTATTTTTCCTTTTAACTAATTTTAAAGTGCAAAAAAAATATAAAATATTTTTTATAGACATTAAGATAAAGTGATTTTATTTTCTAAATATACCACATAAAAATTAGGCATTCACAATTTTTTTAAACCTAAGTGTATGTTCGATTTGAAACTGCAGTTGGCCAAAATGATTTTTATATTTTATGTCTGTTTGAGTTGTTTGTGTCGTCGATGTCGTAGAACTCACTGGAGAGGTCGTGCCCAGTATCAACATTAGTTCACGGTAATGTCGTGAACTTTTCCTGGCCTCAGCTGTTCAGCTGCTCGGCTGGCATTGGCTTTGTCAGCGTTTATTGATGGCATCAAAGTGTTTTTCAATTTATTTTATTTTTCCTCCGCAATTTATTGGCACGCTCTGTGTGCGGGGGTCGGTTTGCTTTTGGCCTTTTCCCCTGGATGTTTGTCTTGGCCATGGCCAGATGCGAACCGAGCGATATGATTGATGTTGCAACAATTTTGCAGCATAATTTTAGGCTAGCCAATACAGCGAAATGGTTGCTTCGAAACAGACACGTAGGAGCCGTTAAGTTTAAATGGCCAAGGCGGTTCAATTGATACAAGGTGGGGGAGATTTCCCATAAAAGGGATTTAAGATTTTAAGGGTGAAAAATGTTACCAATGTGATTTATCACATTTCAAAGATATTTAAATAAATATTCTTCATCGCTTCAAATATGGTATCGTGATATGGGAGAAGGTTCTCATGCTAGAATTACTAAAATAAAATATTAAAAAAGAGGCAATATTATTTTTTCTATTTAAACGAGTTTTTGTATTTACTTTCCATATATCGCTAGAATGTAGTTTTAAAATCAAAATCTTTCTTAATATACTTCTAATACCATATCAAATAAAAACACCTCTTAACGAGGTAAAAAACTAGTGACGACCGCACCTTCAACATACAAAAGTTCTGATATCAACATTTGTGACGAAAAATTATTACACTCGTCATTAAATAGACTTTCTAATATTTTCTCATTCGGCCCGCCCTAGCAAACTATTCCAGCCTTTTTCCCTTTACAGGCATTTTCTATTGCAGCGTGACGAATGAGAAAAGATTAGAAAGTCTATTTAATGACGAGTGTAATAATTTTTCGTCACAAATGTTGATATCAGAACTTTTGTATGTTGAAGGTGCGGTCGTCACTAGTTTTTTACCTCGTTAAGAGGTGTTTTTATTTGATATCAGAAGTTTTTGTTTGTTTACATTTGCTCTCATAGGAGCTAATATATACATTTAAATTTAAATTGGTCAATCATAATTTTTAAACTATTGTATTTTAACAAATTAAGTTAAAAAGGCGTTGAAGTATTTCAAAATACCTTTTAAACGAGGTATAGCACATGTCTGTACCTTTAGTAGTGTAGAACTTACAAACTAACGAAATTTAGCTATTTTTAGCTTTTTCCCGCTAAAGTAGCGGCTTTTTCCAAAAGTCGTAGAACAAAAGATTCCTATATGGAACTCTTAAGTGCAAATTTACTGATTCCATGACCCTAAAATACAGTTCGGATACCCTCCCACTAAATTCAATACTCAGGGAGCTTTAATTGTTCGAGCTGGCAAAAGTGGCTATTTTCGTATAAAAATAACTTTTAAACGTGACTTTTTACAGTAATGTGTTATATACCAAAATTTAAGGAATCTCAAGGGCTATACAGTTTAAGGTTTTAAAGAAAATCGTTAGAGCCGTTTTTGAGAAAAAAAAAAAAAGCTAAAAAAAAAGTTTTAAAAAATTGTCTTTTGTTCATATTTTTTTAATTATTACATTTACACAAATTGCATATAGAAGGCGTTTATAGCATTTAAAAATACCTTTCAAACGAGATGCAGCACAAGTCTGTAGCTTTAGTAGTATATAAGTTACGGATTTCCGAATTTTAGCTATTTATAGCTGTTTTCCCGCTAAACTAGCGAGTTTTTCCAAAAGTGGTAGAACAAAAGTTTTTCATATCGATGTGATGAACGTCATATCAAATTTTCAAAACTTATAAAACATGTTTTGGACAAACTGACAAACTGACAAACTGACAAACAGAATTAAATTTTCATTTTGGGAAGACGAAGGAAATCTTATTTTGGCTATAACTTTTGAACGGAGCGTCGGATTTTGACAAATGACCCCTCATTCGACGGGTATTTTCAAAAGGAATACAACTAAAACATTTCGAGGGGGCTTTTATCCCCACCGGCCCCAGCAGCTCCAAATTTCGAAATTTTCACTTTTTCACTTTCACCGCTCTCTCTCCCAAGCCAATTAATTTTCTTAGAGGGTTGGTATGCAATCCTGTTAGTTTTCGCAATACCTTTCGATAGGTATATCATTCATTATGATCGGACCATCACAGTAGATTTTCATTTCTTCGTGTATATATAGTAGTCGCCTTCGCACACTCTCCTGGTGCGCTTCGTCACTACATGGACTGCCGTCCATAGTGATAACCCAATTGCAGAACAATTATGGCATCAGCATATCATTCGGAGCACTCTGTTTGGTTCCCGAAAAACTGCCAAATCGGCGAATGTCAGAAGCCAAGCTGGTCAACAGAAATCGAATCGGCGGAGTCAAGTTGGGGAAGGGGAAGCCCCTATAAGTACATGAATGAATGCATGCCCTGGTACAATGAGTTGATAATCCCAAAGGCAAATACTCAAATAGAGGCGGAAAAGGGGGGAGGGGCAGTGATATGTCAGTGGCACACACATGCAAACACACGGACATCTATCTATGCAAAGCCATAAAGCAACAATAATAAACGCACATCATCATCATCAACAACAACGGCGGTATAGGTTTTCCCCTCGCTTTTCCCTCGGCTTTCCCGCTTCGCCCTCAACAGCCGCTGCTGCTGTCAGCAAAAAAGTATGAAATATCATCTAAAATAGGAAATGCGTAAATGCGAAATCCTACAGAACGGAAACTCAACTGAAAGCGATGCGCCAACGAACGTTGATGATTTCCCCCGCCCGCTTTTCCACTCCCATTTTCCATGCTCTGTATGAAAGTCAATTTTTCATTTAGATAACTTTGACATACGCAAACGTCATGGAAAGGAAAGAGCTCCACACAGTGGTTTTGGTGTATGATTACAATGGGAGATGTTTTTAACAAAATCTTCGAAAGAATTTAAAACATTTTATAATATAAGTTAATTTGTATTATTATTTTAAAATTTAAACGATATTAACTAAAATTTTAAAACTAGCTTAGAAGTGAAAATCGATTGATAAACAATACTGACAATGCCAATATGTTTATTAACCGATTTTACTATTCATTCTTTAAATTGTTTTCTCATCCGCATGTTAAATTTAAAGTCGGGTTTAAAAATTTAAAAATGTATGGGAGTTCAGATTCTACTTTTTAAGTAGTATTAACTAAATTTGCATAAAACTTAGTTTGAAAGCGAGAGTTATTCGTTATTCAAACTTTGTTATTCCTGTCAGTTAACCTTGGCACCACTGTGCCTTTGGGGCCTTGCCTTGGCCTCCCACCACACCGCCCACCTCCCCCCGCTTTGCATGTGTGCGTCTGCATACAGCGATTTAGATTTTGGGTTCAACCTCGGCTGCCATTCCTGCTGGCGCCAGTCAGTTTATCCTGAGGGGTTTCATCGCGGAAATGCGGGCAGCGTTTTGATAAATGAATTTTCCCCATCTCAAACATTTTCCAGCCCCCTCCCCTTTTCCCCCTTGGGCTTTATGTATGAGTGTGCATGGCTTAAATGAAATGTTAACAATTAAACGGAGCCGGCAAAACGACAAACGAAGTAACATGAAAAGACTATCAGAAGAGAGCAAGTCGCTGGCTT